GGCCGCCGGAAGTCGGCCTCTCCCGCGTGAGGTCCGCCGCCGCGGGGCCTTCTCCCACTCGCCTCTGTCTTGGGGCTGTTAGTGTGCACTTTAGGCCCTGTTTGCACGCTGTGACAGACCTAGTCCACGTTTTAAAACGTTACTAGGATTAGTTTGGTTTTTTCCCCCTGAGAACGTTGGATCTTTGGGTACGTGTACAGTAAGATTTAATGCAAAATCGTAGGCTCTGAAAGCACACTTTTGGCTCGACAATATCACCAGGCCCGTAGGTAAGCAATTTTGCGCATGGTTTCTCCGTTGACATTTTGCCATGGAGAAGAATGGGAGAGATGATGAACCAAAATAAAGATGCACATTAGTGAATAGTAGGTATCTGGAATTGACAGAGCTCTGGTGGCGCTGTCGATGACGCGTTGGACTGTTAACCTTGTCAGCAGTTGAATCCACATAAGCATTTCCCCGCAGGAGCAAGACGAGGCTCTCTGCCCCTGTAAAGATTGACAGACTCAGAAACCCTGTGAAGGGTCGCTCTGAGAAGGAGCCCTGGTGAGGTAGTGGCCTATGCATTGAGCTGCTACAGTTAAGTGAGCCGTTCAAACCCAGCAGTCACTCCCCAGAAGGAGGACGAGGCTGTCTGAAAGCTTCAGCTCCACTCCGCCCTCTAGGTCACCAGGAGTCAGAATTGCTGTAGTGGCGATGAATGAAGTAGGCCAGGAACTTTGCTATGCCAGTTACCAATAGTAAATGGTCACAACAAACCTATGAGGTCAATATTTTTATTCTGAAGTTTATACTAGTGAATTGTTGGAGCTACTGTCAGGGGCTTCTTGAAAACGTGCAGAGCAGTGATGTACAAAGAAATTAGCCTAATAAGTAGAGTTCGATGACCATAATACATTCTTTAACATTTAGGTGTAAATTACTGAGCATTTGCAAATCTAAATATTTGCCGTCCTCTGGTGGTCTGGTTCTTTTTTTTTTTTTCTAATCATTTTATTAGGGGCTTATACAACGCTTATCACAATCCATACACACATCAATTGTGCAAAGCGCATTTGTACATTCATTGCCCTCATCATTCTCAAGACATTTCCTCTCCACTTAAACCCCTGGCATTAGGTCCTCATTTTTCCCCCTCCCTCCCTGCTCTCCCCCCTCATGAGCCATTGATAATTTATAAATTGTTATTTTGTCATA